CCAGTGCTGACTAAATAAATATAGGAGACCAAGAAACTCATTTTATAATCCCTCTGCTAACCTCTGTTCTCTACTATTCATTCTGTCAAAAAAACAGTATTTATCAAGTGTCTATGCTGTGCCAGGCATTATTCCCAGAGCTGGGGATACTACAGCGAATAAAACAAAGCCCCTGCTTTTGTGGAGCTTATGATTTTAACGGGGTGGGGTGCGGGAGATAAACAAATTGGTAAGTAGGCAGTATGTCACCTAGTCAAGTGTGCTATGAAGAAAAATACAGCAGGAAATGGGGGAGGCAGACTGCACAGCATTTGCAAAAGACTTAAGATGGGAATATCCTTGACGTGTTCAAGCAAAAGCAAGAAGAATGTGGCTAGAGATGAGTGGATTGGGGGGGAGGCAGGCACAGAGGAGGATGGTTGGAATATGGTCGAAGAGGTAACAGGTGATGGGGGCAGATCATGTAGGCATAAGGAGCACTTTGGGTTTAACTCAGAGTGGAGGAATGACATGAACTGGTGAGGATGCTGGAGTTAATTAGGTTGAAATGCAATGGTTACACCTTTCCCACAGGGCTATGCATATAGGAAGCAGCCAATAAACGTCAGAACATTCCTGGGTAAATATTAGTTTATAACACTAAGATTGAGGGCCTAGCATTGCATATAATGGTGGTGTAGATCTACCTTAATTCCCATCAGGCCACTCTAGAGAGCTGATAAAGGAATTACGTATGGGTCCATGTACCTTGCAATTCATGTTGATGGTCTGCTGTCCTGATGAAGACTGCTCAGGAACTGGTCCTCACCCTTTGAGCCCAGTCTAATGACTGGCTGGGAAGCATTAATGTATGAACTTTTCTCCTCCTTTGAGGCCACTAACTGTAATAATTAGGGAAATTCACTGTGGAGAAAGAGCCCAGGGATTCAGAAGGAAGCATGATAAAAAGATAGGCTTGGTGTCAGAAAGAACTGAATTTGAGTGAGTTCTACCGTTTGCTGGCATTTGACTTTGGGCAAGTCACCTGACCTCTCTCTCTCTCTTTTTTTTTAAAGATTTTATTTCTTTTTCAACAAAGAGAGAGAGAGAGAGACAGCGAGAGAGGGAACACAAGCAGGGGGAGTGGAAGAGGGAGAAGCAGGCTTCCCATTGAGCAGGGAGCCCCATGTGGGACTCGATCCCAGGACCCTGGGATCATGACCTAAGCTGAAGGCAGATGCTTAATGACTGAGCCACCCAGGCACCCGTCACCTGACCTCTCTGAACTTCTTTTTCTCCTCTGTAAGTGGAGATGGTGATATCTACATTTTAGCAGTATTTGCCATATCTACACACATATAGTATCAAGTCGTTGGTGTATAGCAATAGTTAGATAATTGGTAGCTATTGTGATGTGTTCAACAAAATTTTTGAATGCCTACTACATATAAAGTACATTATTATGGGGCACCTGGGTGGCTCAGTCATTAAGCGTCTGCCTTCAGCTCAGGTCGTGATCCCAAGGTCCTGGGATGGAGCCCCACATCGGGCTCCCTGCTCCGCGGGGAAGCCTGCTTCTCCCTCTCCTACTCCCCCTGCTTGTGTTTCCTCTCTCGCTATGTCTCTCTCTGTCAAATAAATAAATAAAATCTTAAAAAAAAAGTACATTATTATGCACTGAATGCTTGTGTCCCCCCCCCATTCATATGTTGAAAGCCTACCCTCCAATGTGATAGTAGTACTAGGAGGAGGGGCCTTTGGGAATAGTACTAGGAATACTTAGGATTAGAGGAGGTCATGATGGAAATGCCCTCATGAATGGAATTGATGTTCTTATAAAGGTCCTGAGAAGTTTCCTTTGCTTTGCTCTTCACCACGTAAGGCTACAAGAAGTCATCAAGTGCAACCCAGAAGTGGGCTCTCACCAGAACCCAAGCATGCTGGTACTCTAATGTCATATCTTGTATCTCCTTTGTGCAAGCACATTCTATCTTACTGAATATATTTTATGTGTGCCTCATCTCCCTGGTACAGACTGTAAACACCCTGAAGGGAAGAATCATTATTTTCTGTACCTATGTGTGTCTTAGCTTGGGCCGCTCTAACAAAATGCCATCAGCTGGGTGGTGTATAAACAACAGAAATTTTTCATAGTTCTGGAGTCTGGAAGTATAATACCAATAACAGCTACCATTTATTGATTGCTTACAATAAGCCAGGCACTATGCCAAGTGTTTCATAAACATCTCATTTTATTTTTACCAATTCCACCTTAAAAAGTACTATTTTTAGCTCTATTTCACAAAAATGGAATCTGAGGCCCAGAGAGGGGAAGTGAGTTGCCCAAGGCTGCACAGCTGGATAGTGGCAGAGGACAGAAGTGAGCCCCATTCTGGGCTCTAGGACTCACATCCTTCTCAGAAAAATCCATCCCTCCAGCTTCTAGGCTTTGTCCAAGTTTTACCATTTTGTTCACCCATTTCCAGTCCACCTTTTTTTTTCTTAATTTAACTCTACTTTGAAATGCCAGCTAAAATTTGAATAAATACTATGGTGCCTCAAAGGACCCATAATTCACTGGACTTTCCATTCTGAAGTTAGTGTCTGTATAGGAAAAAAGAGGGACAGCAATTTTACAATTTCTTCCAGTCATTATAGCACTGAAAGCTTGTCACTCTGCCCAACATTGTGAATCACCAGACTGATCAGGAGTCACATCCTAAGTCTTGGGGTATATGCGGACTTAATAACTATCAGAGTCCTGTGCAAGGTTCATGTTCTACACACTCTTTCAGGGTGATCTCATTTATTCTCATGTCTTTAGCTATCATCTATAAGGCTCTGACTCTGAAAGGTCTACCTCCAGATCAGCTCTCTCTCCTCTGAACTCTGGGCACTAGCACTTGGGTGTTTCATAAACACCTCATGATCAATGTATCTGCATATGAACTCATCTTTCCTGCCTCACCCACACTGCTTTGTGTTTCCTAGCTCAGAAAAGAGCACTACCATGGCCACCCAAGGTAGACATCTAGACACCTGTGACTCCTTCTATCTTTAGCTCTGGTTAGTCATCAAATCGTTCTCTTCTATATTTTTAAAATCTGTCTTTTGTCCTATAATTATCTCTCAGCTCAAGTTGTGCCAAAGCTCCTAAACTGGTCTTCTTTCTCCAGGTTCTCCTTTTTCAAGCTTTTCTCCACACTGCAGCCAGAGTGATCTTTTTTAAAGCCACAAATGTTAAGTCTAGCACACAAAGTCCTCCAGGGTCTGGGCCTTACTCCTTCCCTAGACTCATTTGTTTCGGCCACTAACCTCAGATTCTATACTCTAATTCTATTTAACTCAGTATCCTTTTGTTTTTTAAAGATTTTATTTATTTATTTGACAGACAGAGATAGCGAAAGCAGGAACATAAGCAGCGGGAGTGGGAGAGGGAGAAGCAGGCCTCCCCCCGAGAAGGGAGCCCGATGTGAGATTCGATCCCAGGACCCTGGGATCATGACCTGAGCCGAAGGCAGACGCTTAACGACTGAGCCACCCAGGCGCCCTAACTCAGTATCCTTTTGAACATGCTGTTCCCTTCACCTGAAATTCCCTTTTCTCCCTTCTTTATCTAACATCCATTGATCCTTCAAGTGGGCATTAATTACCTTTTCCAGGAATCCTTCACTGATGCCCCTAAGACGGACCAAGTGTCCTGCTTGCTTCCGAAGGGGTTGAGCTATTGATAACTCATTTTTCTATTGAATCAAATTACATGGTACAGCCTCCTTAGTTTAACCCTCTGATTCCCACAACTCTTTTGAGGGTAGAGATGGAGCTAACAGCTAACAAAATGTCTAGAACAGTCTAGACTTTCAAGGAATGTTCAATATTAAAAAAATGAATGGGAGGTAGTATTGGTCACAGCAAGGGAACTAGAGCTAGAAATGACAGTACAGTACAGTATAAGACAGAGGGCTTTAAAGTCAACGGCTTACATTGGTATTAGAGCCTCTCCCCTCCTTTGCACGTTATTTAACAACTCATTGCCTGGGTTTCCCCATTAGTAAAATTAGAGTAATAATTGTACTTGGCTCATAGGGCTGCCATGAGGATCAAATTTAAAATTTTGATATACTGAGGGGCGCCTGTGTGGCTCAGTCGTGAAGCGTTTGCCCTCGGCTCAGGTCATGATCCTGGGGTCCTAGGATGGAGCCCCAAGTCAGGCTCCCTGCTCCGTGGGAGGCCTGCTTCACCCTCTCCCACTCCCCTAGCTTGTGTTCCCTCTCTCGATGTGTCTCTCTCTCTGTCCAAATAAATAAATAAAATCTTTAAAAAAAAATAAAATTTTGATACATTGTTCATTAAGGTTTTTTTGCATTAAATTTGTAAAATACTGCATTAAAATAGTATTTATCTTAGCCATTGAGTTTCTGGTGTCCCTTTAATTTTTTCACTCCAGGAGAGTACCTCATTCACTTCACTGGAGTCTTCACTTTGTCTGCACCTTATATGCTCGACAAATATTAGCAGCGTTCAATAAACATTTGTTGAATTTACTTATCTCCCTATATTTTCAAATTAAGTAAAACATATACAATAAGGTGAACAAATATTAAGTGTATTGCGGAGCTCCCTAATTGTTCAGAACATTACGCTTCGCAGTAAAGGGTGTCTTTTCACCCTCAGGTATCCAACAAAAAGTCCCTTTTGTTAAGTCTCCCCTTCCCTGTTTTCCGCAACTCCCTTCCCTAGGCTCTCTTTTGCCCCTGTCAGTTTCAAGAGATTTCCTAGACAAAAACATTCCAGATCGTCAAACTTGAAAAAAATATTTTCCTGGAGGACGGCCTATGACGTCAAGCCACCCGGTAAATCTCAGGCGACCCTCCAAGGGAGGCCGCCATCTTCCATACGGCGGTTTGCGTCCCGCGCATGCGCTTCTGTTTACGAGGCTGCAAAGAGGGGGATTTTTATCCCTTCTCGGCACCCTTACGTCGGGGGCACCAGTGTCAAGATTTACGTGACGTCCGTTTCTTGCCGGAAGTGGAAAGACGAGGAGTAGGTGTTGAGCTGTCCAGAGGGCTTTAACGTTGGGGCTGGGGGCTCATTGTTTCTAAAATCTCCGAGGTCGTGGGGTGGATATATTACCCACTTTACGAGAAGAGATTAGAGTGCGCTCGGGGGCGTGTTTCTAGTGTAAGTGGGTACGTGTCTTTGATGTTGGCTTAGGGGGACCTAAACCATCCTTTTAAAAGAACCTCAAGTTCCGCCTCGCTCTCTTTGAAAGGCGTTTTCAGAGAGGTGGAACGCCCAGATTTTAGATTGATTCAAGCTCTGCCACTGACTTGCTGTGGGTCCTTGGGCCCCTCTCCGAGTCTCAGTATCTTCATCTATAAATGGAAGAGTAGGCAAAGTCTCTTAAGTCACCTTTCAGTTCTGAATGTTATTACATGTCCAAGCCACAAAGTCTTGGGGGTTAAATATCGTTGGCCCCATTTTATAAGGAGGACATTGAGTCCCAGTTTTGATGACTTCCTCAAGATTGCACAGAAAACTTTTAGAGGTTTCGGACATTGAAACTAGAAGATTATGCTCTAACTCCATGACCACGACTCCCTTTTTATATATATGTATCATCAGTTCCTGAAACTGGCCTATAGCAGTTACTCAAAAAGTTTGGATGGATGAATGAATCTTTTGATATCAAGGCCGATGACACAAGCAGATCTGTTGTTTCTCTGGCCCTCTAATGTATTAACGATGTAACACTTCTCCAGGTGTTTCTTCTGCTTTGACTGGGGACTCTGAAACCAGTTCTCTTGTCTTCTGCTTAATCAGACACCATGGAGGCACCTCCAGTCACCATGATGCCTGTCACTGGAGGCACCATTAATATGATGGAGTACCTGCTGCAGGGTAAGTGAACCAGGCAACTTGGGTGACCTGTTTTCCTCTTTCTGTTCATCATCTGTTGGGTTGAGAGGCTGTTACACAAAGATAACCTGCATGATTTCTGGCACTTAGTAAACAATTTTTTAAAAAAATTTAAACGTTGATTGTGGTCACAAACACATAACATTAAATTAAGTGTACAGTTCAGTAGTGTTAATTATATTCACATTGTATAACTGATCTCTAGAACTTTTTCATCTTGCAGAAGTGAAACTCTATACCTATTAAACACTAATTGCTCCTTTCCCCTCCCCTCAGCTCTTGGAAACCACCTTTCTACTTTGTTTCTGATTTTGACTGCTCTAGATATTTCATATGAGTGGAATCATACAGTGTTTGTTTTTTTATGACTGGCTTGTTTTACTTAGCATAATGTCCTCAAGGTTCATCCCTACTGTAGCATATGACAGGATCCCCCTTTTTAAAGCTGAATAACATTCCATTTGTGTATATACTACATTTTCTTTATCTATTTATCTGTCATTTGGGTTCACCTCTTTGTCATCATGAATATTGCTGCAGCAAACATGGGTGTGCAAATATCTCTTAAAGATCCTGCTTTGAATTTTCGATATATGCCCAGAAGTGGGATTACTGGATCATATAATAATTCTATGATACTGTTATTAGTTCTATCTTATAGATCAGGAAACAGGTAAAGGGGGGGAGGCTCAGTTGGTTAAATAAAATAAAACAAAAGGAATGTAAATTTAAAAAAAAGGAAACAAGTAACTTGCCCAGATGAGAAAACTCAAGATCCAGAGAGGGTAGTGATTTTCAGGAGGTCATATAATGTTTTGTGGAAGAGTTTTTTTTTTTTTAAGATTTTGTTTATTTATTTGACAGAGTTAGCGAGAGAGAGAGCACAAGCAGGGGGAGCTGCAGGCAGAGGGAGAGGGAGAAGCAGGCCACCTGCTGAGCAAGGAGCCCCACAGAGGGCTCGATCCCAGGACCATGACCCGAGCTGAAGGCAGATGCCTAACCTACTGAGCTACCCAGGCGCCCCTGTGGAAGAGTTTAGACTTTAATTCAGATCATCCATTTAGTAACTTAATATGAAACAACATTAGGTTACTAATTAATTTTCACTTCTCAAGCTACCTCTCCAGTCTTTCCCAACCCAGTAAGTGCTACTATCATTCACCAGTTGCATGAACCAAGCATTTAGGAGTCAATATCTGGTTTTCACTTTACCCCCACATTTAGTCCATTTCTAAGTCCTATTCATTTTACTTCCAACATGTATTTTATTTTTTTAAGATTTTTATTTATTTATTTGACAGAGAGAGACACAGTGAGAGAGGGAACACAAGCAGGGGGAGTGGAAGAGGGAGAAGCAGGCCTCTTGCGGAGCAGGGAGCCCAACGCGGGGCTTGATCCCAGGACCCTGGGATCATGACCTGAGCCGAAGGCAGACGCTTAATGACGGAGCCACCCGGGCCCAGGCGCCCCTCCAACATGTATTTTATTTTATTTATTTTTTGTTTAAAGATTTTATTTGCTTATTTGACAGAGATAGAGAGCATAGGTAGGCAGAGCGGCAGGCAGAAGGAGAGGGAGAGGGAGAAGCAGACTCCCTGCTGAGCAGGGAGCCCGATGCGGGGCTCGATCCCAGGACTCTGGGATCACAACCTGAGCCGAAGGCAGACGCTCAAACCGACTGAGCCACCCAGGCGCCCCTCTAACATGTATTTTAAATGTGTATTTTCTCCACCTGCAGTGCCACACCCGGGTTATCATCCCTCACGTGAACTACTTTAGTAACCTTTTACTTATTACATTGTTTCCACTTCTGATTGTCTCTTCCCACACCGACAGGTAGTTATCTTTTTATTTTTTTATTATTATTATTAAGTAAACTTTGTGCCTCCACCGTGGGGCTTGATCAAGAGTTGCATGCTCGGGGTGCCTGGGTGGCTCAGCTGGTTGAGCGTCTGACTGTTGATTTTAGCTCGGGTCCTGATCTCAGAGTCTTGGGATCAAGCCCCCTGTCCGCCTCTGTGCTCAGTGGGGAGTCTGCTTCTCTCCCTCTCCCTCTGCCCCTCTCCATGCATGCTCTCTCTCAAATAAATAAATAAATCTTTAAAAAAAAAAAAAGAGTTGCATGCTCTACCAACTGAGCCTGATAACAGTGTAACACTTCTTCAGGTGTTTCTTGTGCTTTACTTGACTGGGGACTTGGAAACCAGTTCTATTGTCTTCAGCTTGACACCATGGAGGCACCTCCAGTCACCATGATGCCTGTCACTGGAGGCACCATTAATATGGTGGAGTACCTGCTGCAGGGGACCTACCAGGCGTCCCTAGTAGTCATCTTTTTAAAAAATTATTTTATTATTTAAAAATTCAAATATAGAGACTAATATAGTGAACAGTCCATTTCCATTGTCTATATTTCAGTTTGTATCTTTTTTTTAAAAGATTTTATTTATTTAGGGGCGCCTGGGTGGCTCAATTATTAAGCGTCTGCCTTTGCCTCAGGTCATCTTTTTAAAGACTTTATTTATTTGTTCCCAGGACCCTGGGATCATGACCTGAGCCGAAGGCAGACGCTTAATAATTGAGCCACCCAGGCGCCCTCAGTTTGTATCATTTTGCCATATTTGCTTCTCATCTTTTTTTCTTTTGCTGTTCTTTTTTTTTTTTAAGATTTTTTTTTTAAGAGAGGGAGGGGGCGCCTGGGTGGCTCAGTTGGTTAAGCGACTGCCTTCGGCCCAGGTCATGATCCTGGAGTCCCGGGATCGAGTCCCACATCGGGCTCC